TGTTGTGTTGTGGCGGCGGGGGTGCGTGGGGGTATACATAACCAAACACATCAGATATGTGTAATGGTTTGTATCGCATTAGCCTTAGCTGCTTCCTTTTCTTCTAGCAGATATTACATTCAGCGGAGTTGTGAGAAGAGTCTGTCAGCAGCTACTTAGACAAGTTGCATGGCTTTCCTGACCCCCTCAGCTCTCTCCTGCATTCACAGCTCTCATATTATTATCCCCATAGAGTTCTGTGAATGGATTAGGAAATTCTGTCATTCAACTGCTCTCTCCTCCATTCACAGAACTCAAAGCATTGTAGAATCATAGTAATATGAGATCTGCAAATCAGAAATCTAATGTGTTTGGTACTGTATTCCCCTGCCCTTTAAAGCAGAACCTCTAGGCAGAATTTTTCTTAACCCTAGCAGTGGGGCTAACCCTGAACTGCAAGGGTTAAGTGCTCCTGTTTTTCTAGGTGCTAAAAAAAAAAGTTAGACCCACTGCATGGGTTAAAAACACCTTTGCCCAGAGTACTTCTTTAAGTATGAAGTGTAAGCATGCATATCATTCTTTCACTTTTATCTCTCAATCGGTTAAACAAAATATACATTTTGTTGTGCATATTTGAAATATATATTCAATATTTTATATGATTTTCATTATATCACTGTTGCTGCTGGGACTGAGGCCTACCTACTGCTTTGTGGAGAATAAAATGGGAGATAAGCACCTTAAGCACCACTATTTTCCGTATGTCAGTAATACATAGGGACACGAGTTCTTGTAAGAAGTCAGAAAGAAAGACTGGGGATCAGTTGGTCTCCAACCTTATTATATTTTTCAAGAACAGGCACCAGCCAATAAGCATCATCCAAAATAACAGAAACTGAGGATGTTCTACACACACACTTACTCATGATAACATGTGTTTATCTCAAAGGTCTCATCTTCTGTGCCAAGTCTCAGGAACACCTAACATGGACCATTTTGTTCGCTAGTTGAACAGCTGTGAACCTCAGGACAAATGCACTCATTACTTGAGATTATGTTAAAGTGTCTAGTTGTTGCCTACTTGCAGATGATATTTTGTAATCATCCTTGATCATATGTAACGACAAGGAGACTAAATGCCGAAATAAATTACACTCCTGGATATTGTTTCAAAATAGACAATGTAAATATTGTAAAGAATAACAATTAAAGGCACAAGATAGTGTTTCCAATGTAAATATATATATATATATTTATTTACTTATCAATAGCTTGCATTGTCATGCTAATTGCATCAGCTCTTGCTAATTTGATCAGCAAGATCGATAAGCTTTCATTGATCAATAATTTAGTGGCAAATATTTCATCATGTACATTACCCAAAAAAACAAATAGTCTGAATTTTTAATAACATGAATGTATATTGTATATGTTTATTTGCAGGACTGTACTTTCTTTACAAGAAAAGAAATTCTTAGGTAAGTCACTATGTTAACTTTGTTATGCATAGTTTAGAGAACACCATTAAAGAGTTTCCCTTTGTGTGCCTATACCTTTGCGATGCTTTAAAAGTGGATATTTTAGTCCCTTTAGGTCTGGTAGGAATGTTAGGGGGGGGCCCCAAAGTAAAAAAAAAAAGTGTGGGGTTCCACTCAAAAGTCATACCAGGCCCTTTAGTTCCAGTAGGAATTTTACCAGACCAGCACTGGCTTGGCAGAGGAGGAAAGGGGGGACGGACGAGTGCCCCCCCCTTCCTGCACCATACCAGGCCACATGTCCTCGACATGGGGAGGGTGCTGTCCAGCAGGGACCACCTTAAAAAGCACCTTGTCCCTATGGAGATGAGGACAAGGGCCTCTTTAAAAAAAAACCCTGGCCCGGTGGTTGTGGGGGTCTGCAGACAGGGGTGCTTATCTGCGTATGGGTGCCCCGTTTCTTATAGGTTGCACCCAGATGTCGCCCCTCTTGTGAATGAGTAAAGGGGTATTTGTTACCCTTACTCACCAAATAGTTAAGTAAAATGTAAATAAACACACAACACCTTTGAAAAAAAAATCCTTTACGTGAACAAAAAACTTAAAAAAGTGTCCTATCGATGTAATCCACCGTCAATCACATCGTCCAGTGATGTAGATACACTTCAATCATGATGAGTGATGCCCATCGACCCGTCCGATCCTGACAAACAGCTGCAAAATGACAGCTTCAGGCCGAATGTAAAGAAATGGACGGAACGAGTGGTGACGTTACGGGACTTGTTCACTCTATTGTTGACCAGAGACCTGTCATTCAATAACACAACTCTGTTTCTGAATAGCACTTGGGAGTTCCCGAATGCCATTCAGCCACACCCGACAGTTGGTATTAACTCCTTAAGGACAAAGGCCTTTTTCATGCAAGATTCTGCTAAGCTATTAGTAGCACCACAGAATCACATACTTCCCTGCAATGCACCTGTAAGTTTAACTCCTTAAGGACCAAGGCCTTTTTTAAAATTTTTGCTTACATGTTATAATCCACATTTTAGGTCTGAAAATTACTTAAAACCCCCAAACATTATATATTTTCTGAAAGCCTAGACCCTATAGAATAAAATGGTGGCAGTTGCAAATTTTGATGTTGCACAACATTAACGCAACATATTATCAAACCCCAAAATGTAGTGAGAAATGTACTTAAGTTAATTTAGTGCCCCAAAAGACATATAAAACCCTTGTTTTTTTAAAATCAAATATAAAAGAGGAGGGTACAACAAGTAAATAAATATCCAACATGCCCAGGTTAAAAATTGTGTGCATCCGTGAAACTGCAACAAAACTCAGTACCCTAAAAAGTCCCTTCACAACGTTTTAAAAGCCATCAGTTTAGAGATGCGCGTAAATATTGACCCTAGAATTATTGCTCTCATGCTGGCGTGTGTGGCTATACCCAACATGTGTAGCGCAATCATTGTTTTCTTACATAGTCGCACCCGACGCATTTGTCTAGGTGACGACACTTGTGCTCGCGGGGGACTTTAAAAACAATAAAAAAAATTAATTATACATTTAGTTTATTTAATATTATTTTTTAAACTTTTTATTTTTTTTAAAGTTTACTTTAATTGCTATCACATAGGTGTATTACAAGCCCCCCAGCAGATTGGTGCTGACAAGTACTCTTTAAGGTGATACTGAGGGTCCAAAAGACCCATAGTATCACCTTTACACTCTAAATAAGCTATTGAAGTGCAGATCGCACTTCACTAGTTTATTGCAGTAATGACAGCTCCGGGACTGGATGTGATGCAATACGTTTCGCTAATGGTCAAATAGAACAGGGAGGAGATCGGTGAACGGGCGCTCACCGCTCTCCTCACCAGCTTCCAGCTGACACCCGAGGGCCCGTAGGAGGGGCAGCGGAGCCTGGGAAACATGGTGGGGGTGTCGGGGAGGGGGGCAGCCACTATCGGATCGTAGAAGCGATCTGGTGACAGCTGAGTCGCCAGAATCGCTTCTACTGTAATGCTGGCCGCCGGCTCTACAAGTATAAATAGAGTCTGCTTAACCCCTTGAGGATCCATGACGGAATTATCCTGTCATGGGTCGCGAAGGGGTTATTGACATCTCCCAGACCCGAATGGCATTCGGGAGCTCCCATGTACTATTCAAACTCTCGAACTCCATTCGGGTCTGGGAGCCAAGGTGTTGTGTTAAATCAAGAACAACAAATCCGTTCATTGTGATTGACATGGATCTACAGTACATCGCTGGATGACGAGATTGGCAATGCATCTACATCGTTGGACATTTTTACATTTTTTTATTTAAAGGAATTGTCAAAACTGTGTTTGTGTTTTTTTTGTTCAATTAAAGGATTTTTTTTCAAAGGTGTTGTCTGTATATTTACATTTTACTTAACTCTTTGGTAAATGAGTAGGAGTAACTAGGGCTAGAGCACAAGGGAGGGCAGCATTTGGATGCCCCCTTAATGAAAGGGGGCACCCAGATGCAAGTAAGCCTCCCTTCCTACAGACCCTCACAACCACCGGGCCAGGGGCCCTTGTCCTCCTCCCCATAGGAACAAGGTTCTTTTCCAGGGGGTTCCCCCCTGGCAAAGCACCCTCCCCATGATGAGGGCATGTGGCCCGGTGCTGGAGGGGGGGTGGGGCCCTCACTTCCCCCCTCTTTCCTGCTGTGCCAGGCCACTGCTTGGAATAAAGGTCTGGTAGGAATTTTACTAGTATCGGGACATCCCTAGTATAATCACATTCATGGTGGGGACAGTATTGTACCAAACACAAATTGTTCAGTAATGTGTATGTTTCATATAAAGCCCACAAAAATGTGTTTTTTTACCTTAAAAAGCAATTCCAGGCAACAAAGGAGATCAATTGCGAAACTGCTAATATGCTATGCGGGATATACTGCAGCTGTGTTACAACATTCTCTCATTAATATCTTGATATGATTTTTGTGTTTGTCAGCGCAGAAACATCATATCTCCATGCATGAACACCATAAATCTACACATTTGTTTTTATTTATTTTGGAAGGAAGGAAAGACATTGGCATGTAAACTGTAGGTTTTCATACTGTAATATAATTCTAGAACACAGCCACGGTATTGCTGATAGTTAATAAAAAAAAACATGTGGCAGTATTGTACTAGTTGGCATTGCTGTACGGTCAGTAAGAAAAAGTTGATGTCATACCACAGAACAAGATAATGGTAATGGCTAATAGCTAAAGGTATTTGCTTTGATGTTGGTGCTGATCTATTTCAACATTGGCATCTGCACTGTCTTCCATCTGTTGCTTGCTAACTTGAAACCACTGAACAGCCTTTGGTCCACCAGTGATACTGATGGTTTCTGAGCCTCAGTAGCAGACATCACATTTTCCAGGGTAATACAAACATTGTTTAATTACATTTTAGCAGGGTTTTTTCCCCATCATACGTATATGCAACAATGGGTTAATTAGGGGTATGGAGGACCAGAGCTACGAGACGAGGCTACTAAATTTAAACATGTTCACATTAGAGGTGAGGAGATTAAGGGGGGATATGATTTCCATGTACAAAATGTTTAATGGCGGTAGTAACATTAGCGATAAACTGTTTAAAATTAACTCCGTTACAAAAACTAGAGGCCATCACCTAAAATTGATGGAAAAAAAATTCCAGCACAAGGGGCGAAGGGGGTTCTTCACAGTAAGATCAGTTAGGGTCTGGAACTCACTGCCACAGGCGGTGATTTCAGCAAATAATGTGGAATTGTTCAAGAAACTTTTGGACGATTTCTTAAGGGACCGTAATATACAGGGGTACGGGTACTCCTAGAATGAGATCCTAATAGGTTGGACTTGATGGACTAATGTCTTTATTCAACCTCAAATACTATGTAACTATGTAACAATGTAATAACTTAAGAGTGATTTATAAGTATACAACAATCCAGGGTTGTATTTAAATTTCATGTTGCCCTAGGTACAACCTAAATGACACCATTTTGTACAAGCTTTGCCTCTTTTATCATGCCATTATATGGGTAAAACCCAATGCTAAAATGTGCTAATAGCATGCTTTATGCTTAATACTCATGTCTAGATTTAACTGTACAGATCAAAAAACAAGAGAAAGGGAAGTTCCTGGAACTACAGTGAGTCTTCTGAGTGTCCATCTTACTAGCACATAACATGTAGTCATAAATGTCCAGTGGCGGTCAGAAAAGGATAACAAAATAAGATATAAAATCATCACAGTTGCACATAATAATATTATAGAGAAGATAGCCATACAGGTTGGGGGAGAGAGCTTCAGAGGAGTGATAGGCTCTAAAGAACTACAGGAGACAAGGGAGTCAGAGAGTAGGAGCTCTTGGAATAAGCAAAGAGGACAGTTTAAGTGATTTCTTTAGACAAGGTTAAAGATGTAGCTCTGGCAGTGTTGTGGATGGCTTTGGATGTTGTTAGTATTTTGAATTTTGTTAGTTGTGCAATCAGAAGCCAGTGAAGATATTGGCAGACACTCAGTCATTGGCTCTGGCAGCAGCATTTATGATAGACTGAAGAGAGGATTGCCAGTGTAGAGGTAGGCCAATGGGGAGAGAGTTGCAAGTGCATGAATTTGTAGCTTTGTGGTGTCATTAGTTAGGAAGGGGCATATATTAAAAAAGGTTACGGAGGTGAAGGTGGCAAGATTTAGACAGCAATTTGATATGAGGCTGAAAGGAGAGGTCAGAATTCAGGATTACACCTAACACCCTGGCATGAGAGGAGGGAAGGATAGTTATGATAGAGCTAATGATCTCGCTGGAAAAGTTGGGAGAGGGGGCAATATCATGAGCTCAGCTTTACAAAGATTGAATTTTAGGAAGTGGTATGACATGCTCACTGATATGTCAGTTAGTTAATTAGTAATGTGCAAGGGAGAATGAAGTGGGGAGCTGGGGAATGGAGAGATAGATGTGCGTGTCTTCAGCATAGAGATGGTATTG